ACACATATGAATTATTTTGTAGTTGGTGCTGCTGATATTGCAGAAAATAATCACAATCATGCTGATGATGTACCTGTTGATTCACTTAAGTATTATTGGGGTGGTGAAGTCCTTCTTGGTGGTTTTGGTTTGATTGAAGTCAATAATACTCAAATGACCTTTTCATTTATTGAACATACAGAACGAACATTGTATCAAACAATAATGAAACCGCGACTCTAATAAATAAATTCATTGCTGTCTTGTTTACAACATGACCTATGATAAAAAGATTTGCTAATATATTTTTTTTCTTGAGATAACACGTAGTACTTTGGAATTGCACAATAGCTTATTTTCATTGATCAGAAAGTCTTTTTTTTTCTTCGTTATCTCTGTCGCTCAACTGATTGGATGATGAAGAGAAATATAACTATACCCTCAAACATAAGAATGTAGAACTACAATAAAGATGAACATGTTTTCGAGTTCATTCAAATAGTTTCAAGATTTCGACAATTATTTAAACAAACTGAAAACAAATTATATTTGATATTTGTTTTTATTAAGTTCGACAACAGTTATTGGTGATGGCAACCTTTAATATTCTTAAGGTGTCCTCTATTTTTTGACGATTTCTGGTTCTTGAAGACGATACACCAGATTTTCATGAAATTTTTACCACAGATAGAACATCTAAGATAAGAAGGCATATGTTCGAGAAAAAAGTTTTCAACAAGCTTTTTTTGAAGAAAACTCTGGTTTTTCAAAGGAACACATTGGGCCCGCTTACGATCCCCGTCTAACTTTGTCCAATCGAGTTGAATTTTTTTTTGGAGATACTTTAAATTATATCTCAGAGGTGATTTTAAGCTTTTTCAAAAATTTTGGTTTTTTACGAGAGGAATACGTAAAGACGCATGCGTCCAAACTTGGGCGCTGGTGTTGATAACTTTATAAATTCGGATAGGAAAGTCAAAAACAAAAACGGCCAATTTCAACTCTGAAGAATGCTTTCAAATATCTGTGGTCAAAATTTCAATCCGATTGGAAAGAAGTAAGACAAGCGTCGTAAGCAGACATCACGATGTAATCCTATGGCAAATCCGGGTTTTCTCAAAAAACCTTGTTGAAAATTCGTTTCCTCGAATATGTGCCTCCTTATTTTAGGTGCTCTATTTGCTGTAAAAATTTCATACGCATCGGATATACATTCTTCGAGAATCAGGAACGACGCAAAAAAAACGGAGGAGTAGCCTCAAGTCAATTCGCTATGAAAATCTTCGATTTTTTAGTGTGGATGAGAATGAAGAGAAGAGCAGACATGCATCCAAATGAAGAAAAATGTCTTTATCTACTGGACCATCTGACACAATATTTTTCCGTCGGTAGAAAAATTGAAATAGGGAAATGATACTAGAGAATGTCAAAAGACGGATTTCAGGAACGTTGTTAGACTATATGGTAGAGTCACTGAAAAAATTAAAACCCAATGAGACTGAGTTCAGATTTTTTTCAACTTTTTTTCTACCTTCTATCAAACTCAAGAGTTCATTGGGTCATTTTTCATTTGATTGTCAAAGGCAGAGATTTTTCTATATTTATGGTACGACAGTTTTTGATATAGTTTATAATCAATGAGATAAATTTGAATTATTGAAATTTTATTATTAAGTTTGAGTCCATGTCTGGAGAAGACTAATACACACACTCATCTGTGAATAGACGTCGTATGTACTTTCATCTTTTTACATGATTAACTTTTTGGTGCAGAATGTTCTCGTACTTATCGTTCCAGTTTCTTATGATTTTTTAGTCATGACTTTTTCGTAAAGTGAAGAAATTTTTATTTTACTTTATAGAGTGTTTGAAAAAGACTTTATTTTATTTTTTGTAAAATAATGCAATAGTAGATATATTCAAAGATAATATTTACAGTCGAAAATGTTTTCAGTTTTATTGAATAGAAAGAATTTTCAACTTTTTCAGTGCGGAAAAGTACACAGCGGTTATCATCAACTTGTTTTTAATGTTGTAATAATTGATCACTCATTCACTATCGAATCTTGAAAATGACAATTATTACATAGACTAGACTAGAAAGTAATAGAACATTTTTAATATACAACATAAACTAATGAAGGAACATCTTCAAATGTAAGTCTCAGTTTCGAACTGGATATATACAGTTTGTAGAAGTTAAAAAGCTGATTTTAGTGGTATATTACCTTTTTGCTCATGGGACTCTAAATAAGAAAAAGTGATCGATCTTACTTGTGGAATTATACTTAGGATGAGTTTCGAGATATTGTTAAGAAGTTGAGTCTACAAGGATACTTACGGATCAAATGATCATATTTAAATATGAGCAACGTCATATGTGATAGTCTACTGTCATATTATATATACCGTTCAATTTCTCTAAGATATATAGTTGATAGATGAAAGACAGGATACAATGGCAAAAGGACAATTAGTCACTCGATATCTCTCGTTTTATTTCCCAATCTATCGTTGGGAGTTGATCTCTTGTTAATACCCAGCTTAATCTAATCACTTCTATTCAATGTGTTTAAATAGTTTAAGTTTGACTAGAATAGAATGAGAAGAAAAACATATGGATGCATTTTTTTTATTTGACTTATTTCGTTTTATTGTGTTTCTGGTGAAAGAGTATCTTAATCGGTAGTAGATTCAATACTTAAGAATATGCAATATATTTTGTCATTATGTCACGATTCTGACGGAAATAAGAAATATTTATAAATGAACGTATTCAGATATGGGGTATTTTTTTTTGTAGAATTCAAATTGTTCCTTGTGAATTGTTTCAAAATTTTTCCAATCAACTAGAATATGTCTAACTCTTTCCGCTAGTCTTGATGGGAATTTAGTATTTTTTCGAAAGTTCATAGATAGATACCAGGTTTTCTCTGAGAATGTTGCAATTTTAAAGGTCTGTCACAACTGTTGAAAGGACAGTGCATCTGCTACCTTCTCCAAATACATACTGAAATGACTATAATAGGAAAAAATGTAGCCATGAAGGCTCTTTTCTTGACTGAGTATCATCGTTGTTATATCTTCCTATCCTTTAAGTGCATAGACAATAGCAGATCAGTCCAACTTTTATTCTAAGATGACTTCGAATCGTATTTTATCTTATGTGGGAGAAAAAAATGATTTATCTGTGTCAATGAAATCTTTGAATGCCACAAGTTATTCCTACATAGTGATGTCGATTACCAGTACCGCAGGTCATCTAATCAGCCGTGTTTTCATTTATCTTCTAGAACTGAAGAGTCGATTTCCAATTGTGAAAATGGTCTCTTCAGCACCAAATATAGTGACAACTTGCAGTTAATCTGGAAAATTAAACAATTCTCCGACAGAATATTGGACTCGAGAGGTTTTAGACAGGATAACAAGCATTCGGTTTCTTCTTCTTTATCGATCAGTGGTCTCCGCTGATTAACATTAGAGTATATGAGAAGAATCTGGCAAAAAGACAATCGAGCAAATTATTGGTAATATCCAACATGAAATCGAGACTCACGCTTAAGGGTGTTTTTTCATAAGATGCAGACATATTATTGTTATATTTTTGAAAGTTATTCTTGAGTTCTCTTGGACATTCATAACTCATCTTTTGTTGGTCTTTATCGGGTCGGTATAACAGTTGTACACAATCAGATCGATGTACTAGTATACCGGCGACATCGGTACCGATATGTCGGTCCGGTTTCCACTCTGACTTGTGATACTATTACCATCCATTATTACACATGCATTCTCTATCTGCAGAACAGCAATCTAAAATGGCTTATTTCATATCGAACAACAAGATAACAAAGGTTATTCCCTCGACTGAAGGGAGGGTCATACGAAAAAAACTAAAATGCGTTTGTGGCTCTGTCTGTGCCAGGGTCAAAGGTCAAAGGTCAAAAAAACATGAGATCACAAAATCTTACTTTCACCCTGAGAAATCACCCAATCACAGGTATTCGGACTTGCTCGTTCGACCAATCAGATTTTTTCAAGCTAAAAAACAGCCAATCAGTGGTTTTCGACCTCGAGCTTTCGACCAATCAGATTTTTTCAAGCTAAAAAACAGCCAATCAGTGGTTTTCGACCTCGAGCTTTCGACCAATCAGATTCTTTCAAGCTAAAAAGTCAGCCAATCAGGGGTTTTCCACCTCGGGCTTTCGACCAATCAGATTCTTTCAAGCTAAAAACCAGCCAATCAGAGGTTTTCAACCTCGGGCTTTCGACCAATCAGATTCTTTCAAGCTAAAAAGTCAGTCAATCAGGGGTGTGGGTGTGGGTATGAGGTGGATGGGTGTGGATGTCGCTTGCCTATTTATTCACATCCATATCCGCACTCACACCCACACCTTTAGGTACAGTACAAACAGCATAGGTCAAACAGATTGGTAACAGCATCAGTGAAATGCGACGGTTACGATGAGCACTTATTGCTAATTGATCATTTGTAGATATTTGTGTAAAAATCAGCTTTTTTACTATAAGAAATGTACATGCAAATACAATAGTAGACGGTAGAAAATACATAATCACCACGTGAATCTTTACAAGAAAATGAATGTTAGATTAAATTATATATTTAGTTTAATACTTACCCATGAATATTGAATAGCAAAGAAATTATTGAGTTCATCATTTAATGAATAATAACATGCTACATCGGTTTGTATTATTCGTGTATTATTGTCATATGTCGTATATTCAAAACCTAATGCAAATAAAAATCCATTTAATGCAAATAAAATTATTAAAATAATAACACGAATTATGAATGCAACACTTGGTCAAGCTACTTTAATTTTATACCATCGATCTCTTAATAAATAGGCTCGATCAAGTTCGACAAAAGTAAGAAGCATAGCTGATGTATGTAAAGTATAAAAAGGAAAAAATTGACTCAATATATAAATGAATAATGATCGACCCCATATTTGTTTTTGACCATTTGTGAATGTATATACGGCATTACTTAAATTCTATTGATAAAGTGATATTGTATCCACAAGACATAAAAATATCAAATAGATATTAGTTGATGTTCCTGGATTTTCTTTATTGAGTAAAACAAAAATAGATATAAGATTGCCGACAGTACCAATTACAATAAGAAATATAGGAACAATACCACTTATGATTAATTCAGCTGTTTCGTAAGGAGCTAGATTTTTCTTTCGATACCATGAAGCCATTTGATGCTCACCAGTATGTATACTATATAGTATGTGCTACAACAGAAATCTTGAAATGAATGATGTTATAATAGCTACATTTTTTTTCTTCACTTTTTCTCGGCTTGTTTTCACAGTCAGTGTTCTTGAGTTTTTCTACTCATTTTCCCTTGTCTATTACAAAAAAAGAAAACAGGAAAAAAAAACTTCTATAGTCTTAATCAGATTAATTTTCAAATTGTATCTCATTCACAATATATAGCTTTTGGAACACCATTATTGATAATAGGAATTACTAAAATCCGAAGAAATCTTTTGGAAAAGAGAAAAATTTCAAGCTCTCTTGATTGCAGCTCTCATGAACATCATCCTTGTTTACGAGAATAATCAGAGTGGTCAAATCAGTATAAGTGTTACGAAAATGACAAAATTTCTGTATTAGATTTGAAATAATAAATTGATGCTTTTGTGTTATTAGTAAGTTAGCATGACCATAATGCAAAGAATCATCATAATCTACGAAAGCTTTTTGAAGGAGAATTATATATGTCAGCACATTCTGCGTATGACTACTCGTTTGAAATATTGGAAACTACCAGCAGCGGCAAAAAAGCAGTACCCGATTGATAAGAAAAGAAAAAATAAGTAGATCAGCAAATGCTAAACCTGCTTTGCAAGTATAGTGATTGAATTTTCATTCATTGTTTAAATTTCTATTTAATGTTCTTTTAAAATTCTTCTTATTTATTTTTCTTCTGATAAAATCTTCATTTTTAATCATTAAATTTGAATTTTTTTACTGATAGTTATATATAAAAAGTTGACAACCTTATAAACAATAACAAAGTTAATAGTGCTGTTTCACTGGTCAACTCTGGATCTCGCTTACTCGTGATTAGAGAAGGATCCAAGTAAAAAATTTGTTCGATTGAAATTGATTAAAGTCTAGAAATCTGATGGTCATAAACAAGATCATAAAGTCGACTATTCTATAAGAAAGACAAAATTTAATATCAATTAAAAATGGATTTTTTTTCAAAAATTATAATCAAATTGAGGTTAATTATAAGCTGCCAAACAAAAAAGAATTTTTATTGTTTTTATTTATGGTTTTTTTCCAACTAATCGGATTCATGATTTTAACTATAATTGATTATAAATCAAATATAATCGACAGAAGAATTTGATTTTCAAGGATGTTAATTTTAACTTTAATCCACATGATTTTGATAAAAACTACTCAACATAAATTGTAAATTGATGATGACTTAAAGGGAAACCGCCGTTTTTCAAATAGTTGTCGAAATTCAATAAAATTTGGGCTAATAGTAGAACTAAAATGAGATACATTCATCATAACTTAGAATTCGATATATCTTATTGAAGAGGACTGATAGTGAAAAATATGTCTGCATTAGATTAATGTAATAATAGGAAGAGTTTTGCTTAGTATGATTCACAGCAGGATCAACGCTTTTTAGATTTCACAGCACTAAAAACATTATTTGTCCGAAGAGAGATACGCCTATGTCAAGATCAAAAATTGACTTTCAGCTGAAAAAAAGAGAAAATTTTTCTTATTTGAAGTAAATATCTGCCAAATTGAGGCTAGATTTTAGATCTTGATCTTCGTCAATAGACAGATCAATGTATACAATTACTATAATAATAAATTCGTACTAGAAAATCTTATAAAATATTTCATCCTTCATTTCTTTCAAGAATAAATATATTTTTGGACGCCATTGTAGGCAATTAGAACCTCATTATAGAGCAGCTATTGTATGATGCAAATTACATTTATAAGATTTAGTTGTGCCAATGTTGATATTACCTCCCGTTGGTCTTCCGTTCGTCTTTCCTCTTTATCTTGTCTCTATTGTTCTTTTCTATATTCACATTTCTCTCTTGCTCTCTCCTATATGGGCATGTGCTTTATGTGAGTTAGCTCAATAAACATCATTACGGAGGGTAGCGATAAGCTACTCCTCCAGTTTGTCTTTACACTAGTATCTTTTGAATTTATATGAGTAAATTGTATTGTTCTTTTTATGAATTATATCAAGTTACTGAAGTACAAAATGAGCCCTATCTTTATAAGTGGTGTTGAAAAAAAGTATTATAAGAAAAAAAGCGAATTTTGACGATTGTGATGTATTGCTATTCTTCATCGTGTATGTTAGCTACATTTATAGATAGGTCAGTAGGAATATAAGTAGTATGCGATAAAGGTAATATCAATGAATTCAGATTGTATGTATCATTATTAAGACGAAATCTTAGAGAGTAACTACCTATGAAAAGCTACACATGGGTCTTATTTGTACCATAATTAGTACCTAGAAGATTTGTGAAAAAAGACGGATGATAAATACAACTGGTTTCAGTACTACATCAGGATTTCAAAGCCATTCTAATAGATAAATGTTTTCTGTTATTACTTTTCTTGTTCTTTTCGGTGTGTGTTGTTTCGTGTAAACCATCCCCAAATCCTTCTTTTGTAGACATATTCACGTCATCCAAATATGATCCATTGTCGCAGTCATAGTTAGCATAACTCTTGTGAAGAATATTACTACTGGATAAAATAAAATTAGAACAATTACATTGATAATAATGATCCATTTGATATTACTCAAGCAGCCTATTGTCAATGCAAAGCAACAGACCTAAAACTATCGAATTTTATGCACATACTGTCAGTGTCGTGTGATATCTATCGTTTGCACATCATGAGAACATCACTATTCTTGATTATCATAATCATTTGCACTCACTATTTCTATCACTGTTGGAATAACACAATGTTCAAAGATAGAAACTAGCTCGATAAAATAATAGTGTTGACGATGTTGTGCATTGTTTTTTTTTCTGTCATATAATAAACATTGATTTTTGGTCAAATCACAAATATACTTGCAAATGTACGCCAAAACTAGGCGTGGAGTTCCGCAAACTCCAGTAATGGTTACAATTTAAAACGATTTGCTCGATCTGAGGCACAGATTGTATTTAAAATAGTATAGAATATACAATAGCTGCCCTATGATGAGGTTCTAATCGGCTACAATGACATTCAAAAATATAGTCATTCTTAAGAGGAATGAAGGATGAAATATTTTACAAGAATTTCAAGTACGAATTTATTATTATAGTAATTGTATACATTGTTCTGTTTATTGGCGAAGATCAAGACCTAATATTTATCCTCAATTCGGCAGATATCCACTTCAAATGAGAATTTTTTTTTTCTAACAAAAAGTGAATAACCCTTACATAAACCAGTCGAGTATAAATGAACTATAACTGTGCTGTACAGGTTCAAAATGGATGAACCATAATTCTTTGTCCTCTACACATAAGAGACGATCTATCATTTGGTGATTTGCTACTTCTATAACACGATTAAGATACATGAATAATCGAGTTATTTCATTCACATTGTTCACATTTTACATAATTATTTGTTAAGACGACGTAATTTTGAGATCGTAAAAATCAAACATCTGAAGCAAATCGACAAAAAAAGTAGGAGTGAAAGTGTGCTCTCTGTGTGTGGATGTGGGTTATTCTTCTTTAATCAACCACAACTACACTCACACCAACACCAACACTCATATCCAAACCCACACCTACACCCAGCTTAACAGATTTTGCAATAGAAAAAAATCAATCGGCAATTACGTCTTGTTGAAGTATGAAAGAAGAAAAGTGTACTTCCCGTCGCCCTTTTTGTATACAAGATAGAGTAGCTAGACAAAGCTCTCCGAGACCACAGATCATGACAGAGATTTCAAAAGGTTTGCCTATCTGGCAGTTACGAATAAGCGTGTAGGTGTTTCCATTGTTGCTAGCCAAATCAACATCAACACTCACACTCCTGTCAATTTATTCACTTAATAGAGTGATAATGCGTGTCGTATATTTTTTAGCGCTTCTTTAATAGATTGATATTATGATGAATTCGTTCAGATGAATATGAACAACTCTAATCAGATATACGAATCTAATTTAGTTTGGTAGTCCATAATCAATTTTCGTAACCAATAGGATTCGTGTTCGAATAGAGAATGACGTCGGATCATGAAGCCATAGAAGGGTGTGGGTGTGTATCCTCTTATCATCTACAACCGCAGCCACACTACACCTACACCCACACCCTCAATTTATAATTAGGATAAAATTTATCTTTTGCATTTTTGCCAAAATAACATGAGTGCCGTTTTTTCATTTATTTTCGAAGTGATATTACGCAGTCGAAGTTTCATTTATATTCGAACTCGAATTAGGCATCTCATGCAATATCAACATGGATATCATCGAGTCCACTCTAACTCTGAATCCTACAGACTTTATTGAGACTGTACGTCTCGATTCCCATGAAAATCCTCAAATTAGGACTTGATGGACACCATAATTTTAACTGTATCGTTCGTATGAAATTCAAGATCCCATATATTCTCCATTGAATTAGTTTATTAGATTACGAATAAACAATCACCATCTAATATAAAGTTTTCATTTTCAAATTCAAATTTAACATCAAAACGAACAACAGCTAATAAAAATAAAGAATTTATGAAATTAATCGTTCAAAAAGTACGCATGTGTAATAAAAATGGTGATAATTTTCAACAAGTATGGATTCCTTATTCAATATTAAAATTTATATCTATTTCTTTGTTTTATTTCACTTTGGACAATTGAACAATTTTCTGCTGAAACAAATCGAACAACATTTAGTATTACTTGATAAAATAATCGAAATTGAATTATGATAAGCACAAAATCGTTTTCAATCACGACGACAAACACTAAAGTTATCATGAATTCTTCGTTTTGTTTTTTATTGCTGTTTGATTAATTCTATGGTAATATTAACAAAATACAACGCATTCTTCCCTTTTCTTTGAAAGAGATAGAGATAGAGAAAATTGATATTAATGTATATAAGGATAAAAAAAAGTGAATTTAATTAAGGTTTTTTTTCTCTTAATCATGAAGTTGGTAAAGTTAATGCA